AAAATTTGAGTTGACAGCAGAATAGAATTCAAGTGGGTGTCTTTTTAATATCCCTGATGCTGGATTCCTGTAAAGTTCAAATATCTTTAGAAGAAATACAAAATCCAACCAAATAATCAATCTGAGAGGGAGTTGCAAACTGTGAATATAACAAATTAAATAATTCATATTATTTGATTAGAAGGACTTGAGATACATGAACACTCCCCACTTGATAGTATGAGTTCGCTGACATGACTATTATAAATAGAATTTGAAGAGTCCCAGTGAAGTTGCCAACAAGAATTTGGTCATCATCCTGGCCTAAATCTCTGGTTGGTAATTGCAGAAGTGCTGGCAAGACCAACTACTACATGCAATAAAATAGTTTTCTTAGTGATAAAATGATACCTGGAGCTCCAAATCTCACCCGAGAGGCAAACTCCCTTGACAAAACTGCAGTTACCTAGAATGGTAACAGCCTTTCTTAACAAGTAAGCATATTTCAACTACACAAAGATCCAGAATGAAATATACAAATGCTTAAAAGAGAGAATCTCCTCTGTAAGAACGACTGACTTGTAACAAACTTAAAATATGTAATTGAGTAATAGCTTTAGACTTGTCATCTTAAGTTGAAATCTTATAAGTTCATATACCATATGAATATTATGAAGACTTTAAGGTCACTGTGTTTATAAATTTAATATGTTTATAAGAATGATTTAGTACCTAGGAATATTTTATTACCTCAGACAATAGAGGTACTTAAGAAAATGAACATACTAAACACTAAATATTATTTTAATTATTTTAGCCTATTTCTATGCAGTAATATCTGTGAAAACACTGGTTTGATATGTACTTTATATTAAAATAAATAAAAATAAATAAATGGTGTGTATAAATGGCATTAAATCAAACAATAACATTCTTAATCAGATATCCTTTTGATCTAAACCAGAAGAGTTTATAACCTCTGGAAAAAGTGCTGTAGGACAGTTCTGACTAATAAAAACCACAATAAAGTTGGATTCAAAATTTCTAACTGTGAAAGCAGTTATCAGTATGGAGGGACAGAAGTCAATAGGGGATATTTTTTCTTCTATTTTTTCCTAAAATTACAATAGCTAAAAAAAAAAAATCCAAAACCAAGGCATAAAAATGTCACACATTTAACTAACATTTACTTTGATTTTTAAGAATCTAAAGGTGCCTTTGGAAGCAAGATCAAAAACAAACTGTTCATGAAACAACATGCACTTAAAGAAAAAAGAGAATCCAAAAGTGTACCATTACCCTCAAAACTCTGCTCAGCAACTTCAAATAATGAGAATATATGTTCCTGGACAGAAATAACTTGAACCAACTCATAGGAGACCATGTGACAAGTACAACAGGTTTTGGCCTGTCAGCCCTCTTAAGTGTCCACATTCCTTAGAATTCTGTCATTCCTTTTCTACTTTAGCCATCCCCATGGCAATAAGCCACATAATTTTAAGTATCACCCAATGCACTAACTTCCAAAATCCAAATCTATCCTTTCCTCTCTATTCTCACTGCTATTATTTTGGTTTAATCCTTCATTATTTCTCACCTGTTCCGCTAAAATAATCTCCCCTAACTGATCTCCCTATGTTTATCCTCGTCCTTCTCCAAACCAGTCTTAACACTCAACTGGAGTGATTTCTCTCAAATTCACTCTGATTGTGTGCCTTCCCAGTTCAATTCCTTCAAGAATTCTCCACTGCCTAGACCCTCCTCCAGCTACTTCATCTTTCCTCATTACACTAAATACCATCTGGCATCCAGTAGTACTACATTACTTGTTTTTTCACTATCTCTACTCCCACTAGAATATAAGTCCATAATGGCAGAGTTTTTGTTCACTACTATGTGTTGCATAGTAAGTACTCGAACATGCACACATGAATGAGTGAATGAATAAGTGAATAAATGAATGGACTAATGACCTACAGGCCAAAGGCCTCTAAAACAGGTCAGGGCCCTTCTCTTTTCATTTTACTGGCACCTCTACCTATACTGAATCGCTTAGTTACCTAAATACAACATACACTTTCACAACCTCTTGCTTTGCTTGAATACAAACTCTCCGCCCCATCTAATCAACCTACCACACTATCACCCAAATTTTAAAACCAACTCCAGAAAGCTTCCCCTGACCTCCTAGAGAGAATATATCCCTTTTTGTGTGCTACATCTGTACCTGTATCTAAGTGGCTCTACTCAACCTGTGCTGGAATGTGTATCTCTCTTGCTGGACTGTGAACTGAGGCCAAGGCCTATTATTCATCTTCACCTCCAGTGTCTTTGACAATACCTGTCATACAGCAATTACTCTATAAATGTTGAGTAAATTAATATATGCATGTCTATTTTATTAGAGGAATGAAAACATGGAGTTTCAAGAAGTCACTCCTCTTATTTCATGATGATAACCAGTCATGAAATAAAAGAATTAACAACCCATGACATCATCCAAGGTAATAAAAGAGGAGTTATACAAAAAATATACATCACCAAACAATTCCAATGACTGACATACAGTCACACTCACTTTATTAGCTATACATGCTGGCTCCTTCTTGCTCCATTATTTGCCTTCCCTAAAAGAGAGACCTGGGTTACCTGTGAACAATATATTAAGTAGATCGCTCTCAGGAAACTTCTAATGTTTCATCTAATACAAGTTTTTGTATTCTCTCATATTTTGATTCCAACTTCAAAAGTTTTATATGACTAGATTTTACAACTAACTATACCTAACCCTGAACCAAAGACCAGAGCTTTGTAATCTATGCCATCAATGGCTTACAGCTGTACCCTCAGACCATGGTGTAACCATACAAGGGCCCAATCACCTTCAGCCTTGGGAAGCCTCATCCATTATCCCAATGTGCCTTACAAACCTTAGTATTTTTCTCTGAATACTACAAACCAAGGCTTCTAAATCCAATCATAAGGAACACACCTGCCCTTGCCTACTTAATTCTAAGAATGTGAGCCTGCATGTAAATGTACAATCACACACAGATGCACACAAATGAACAGACATAAATGTACATGAAGCCATTTAGAAAATGTGAGTTTTAAACCCAATGACAGCTAATGTAATATCAAGTGAAGCCAAGACCAAGATGTAATCCTTGATTCCTTCCTCCCCCACCATTCAGTAACCATGTTATGGAAAATTTACCTCATTATTTTTCCAATAGGTTGCCTCCCCAAATATTATGCCTTAGTTCAGAATCATAGCATTTCTCATTGGTATAATAGTCTCCTAATTGGTCTTCCTGTCTTTGGACTCAATGAAAAATCCATCTATCATTTGTTGAGGGGTTATATAATCAGCACTGCAGTAAGCTCTTGATCAATTAACTCTATATTTTTTAATTTTCACAGTAACACTGCCAAGCAGGAATTATTGTCCTCATTTTCAGAGATGAGGGGACAGAAGCCCTGAGAGAGGTTAAATGACTTCCCCAAGGTCATGTTGCTGGAATTATGTGGTGGAAATTCAAACTCAGGTCTACGTTTCCATATGCTTAACCTTTGTCAATTCAGTCCTCTATGCAATCTTTCAAAAAGGTAAATGTAACCATGTTTTGCCTCACATAAAATCCTGCAAACAAGACGAGTCTCTCCAGCCTCATGCCCTGTCATTCTCACCCTCTTCTGTCACACTTAACTCCCGGCAGTTCCCTATTCTCACTGCTTTACCCATGAACACACTTTTTCTGACAAGAACGTTTTTCTCCTTTGGCAGGCTACTTCCAATACAAACTTCAAGATTTTCTCAAACAATCCTTATTCTGGAAAGCCTTTGCCTTAACAAATACACACCCAAAACTGGGTTAAGTGACATTTGCTATGGTTATCAGCTAGTTTCTTATTACACTGTATTATAACTTTACTAGGCTATTAGGAGTAAACACTGCATTTTTAAATCTCTGTATTCCTAGTGCAATGTGTATACAGCAGAGGAAAGACTCAATGAATACTGAATTAATAAATGAATTAATCAGAAGCAGTAAAGCTTAAGAACTTGGCCCTAAAGTTAATTTGATATGCTCTTGAATTCTAACCTGCCACACATTATACCTGCTAAGCCTGCAACAGGCTTGTAAATCTTTTTAATTTTTCCATCTGTAAAATGAGATACAACTGCATCTGCCTCATAGTTTGCAGAGGAGCAAAGGAATACTAGATTTAACACAATCTCTGACACATTGAAATACATGTTAAACATTAGCAATAGTTTTTTCATTCTCAACGTTTATCCATGCTGACAAATCCACATCTCTGAAAATAGCTTATCTTAGCAGCTTCCATTAAGGCTTAAGATTTCTCCAAAAACTCAGAAGTCATGATCAAGAGAACAGCCTCATCCACAGACGAGGGTCTTTCAGTTCTGGTTACACAAGAGTTCAAAAGCTACCATCACACCCTAAACTCACTAACTATCGTCTGCAGTTTTTTTTGCTTCTCACCCACCTCTAGATTTCCTTCCTCAAAGTTGAAGACCAGGCTCCTAAGCAAGCGGAAACCTGCACCCACAGAAACTAGTCGGTACCTTCTTCCAGGAACCATTACTTCTCGCCTGCGTGAATTAGAAGAGACCTATCATCTAGCACAAACTTAAATCTCCTCGAAAGAGCATAACAGAACCCCTTCTATCCATTCCAAGACCTTAGCACCCAAAGTATTAATTTAAGATAGAGCATGAATTCCCGGTATTGAGAATCCAAGAAAAGGGGTCTCTTTAAAGGCTACACCAATAAGAATTCTTCAAGTCTGTTACTCTCTAACTCCGTCCCCTTCTTGACAGGGTTCAAGGTCTCGTCCACTCTCTCTTGGAAGAAAGATGGGTCGGTACTCTCAGGGACCGCGATGCCTTCTGCCCACCGGTGTCACTTCCCTTCCCACTTCGCCAGTGCCGCCAAGCAGCATAGTCGCGGCCTGGTCTCTCGCCACCAGCTCGTTCCAGAGCCGCTACTCACCGCTTCTTGGGGATGGTGCCCGACTCCTGTGCGGCGGGAGTGGCCGTGGGCGCCGCTGTGGCAGCCGACGGTGCTCTCCGCGCTTTGCACTCATTGGTACTCAGAGCCTCTTGAGGCCGGCCCAGCAGATGGCCCGAGAGAACCCGCAGCCTCCGCGTGGCGCGGTCCCGGTCTGGATCCCGGTCCCGGTCTGCGTCACAGTCGGAGCCCGCGCTCATCCCGCCGGCTGCAGCCACCGCCTCCGCCATGGCTTCCGCCTTGTGCCGCCGCCAGGGACCGCTGGGCGCGGTGAAAGGTCGCTCAGAGCGGCGCCCGGCGCGACCATTCGCTGCAGCGCATCCCAGCAGCCACTGCGGCGACTGGGCGGTGGGTGCCGTGCGCCTGGAGCTTCATAGTCTCAGCTCCCGCCCACCGCGCCCGCAGTCCTCCGCAGTCACGCCTCGGGCGGTGTGCACCTGCAGAGCAGGTGAGTTCAACCTGACATCCAACTGGCCCAGCTCGGGCTGGGCTGGACCAGGAGCCAAACTACAAGCGTCCCCGAGGTGTCCAAGTACCCTGGGTGGTGTTCTCGGATGTAGCCTGGGCCTCTGGAGAAGTAGCTTTCGGAGGCAGAAGCCTTGGAGTAAGACGCGTGGGCGGTGCTGCTAGATCTGATAGCAAAACCAGAGTATCCTTTCCCTGAATGAGCTCCTACTGCTCCACCTCTGCCTGGACTTCCTGCAGAGCCACTAAAGTAACTCAAATCTGGCTCGTTGGCTATAATCACTAGAGCAAATGTCTATCATTTTCTCATCGCCTACTTCGTGCCTGGCACTGTGCTTAATGCTAGATCTCAACCTCCATTTTACAGATGAGAAAACCAAAGCTCAGAGGCACTAACTTGCCCAAGGGCATGCAGCCAGTAAATGCTAAAACTGGTTTTGCAGCCTCTTTCCATTCATCTGGATGCTGGGTCCTTCCTTACCCTAATAGACGCAAAGTTTTTTGTTGCCACAGACAAAATCACCCAACAGCTGTTCTTAAGACCTCTCCCTTATCTACAAATTGACTTCATTTCTGGAGCATGGCACTTGATAAAAGTAGGTGCTCCACAACCATTTTCAGCCAGTGGGTTAGATTGCAGACCTAACCATCAGAAGTAAAGTGCCTTTTTGCATAATGTACAGTTCAAAGATGTCTTGGAAATGGTAAGAGGAAGGATTGCCACAAGGATTCCACGCGCAGTGAAGTCACCTCCTTTCTGAATAACCACCTTCCACCTAACACTGGCTCTGCGAAAAAGACATTTGAGGAGTTATTTGACTAACACAAAAGAACCCTTTACTAGTTCTCAAAAAATTCAGGCGGTCGGGGTACAGATTTGTATGTGGGATCTCCATATCTTAAGAGAGAGAGAGTTCAGCATTAAATGTCTAGTCTAGCTTTAGAGTCACTGAACCCAACTTTTGTTGAGCTGCTGCTTCTAACCTTGTACTCTTCCTAGAGGAAGCCCCTGGCTGTTTCAAATAGACTAGGTGTGAAGAAGTGACAGGAGTAGGAGTAAATTGCTGAGTGCTCTAAGAAAAAAGGCTCCTCAACTTCAAGAGTTCAGCAACTCTAGTCATCGAGCTTCTCACACCCTTTCTAGATGTTACTAGAATAGTGTTAAAACACCAACTAGCATGTTGCTTGCGAGCATGTAATATTAGTAGGTTTCTTGCCAAAATACTCTAAGCAACACAATCTTTTTCAAATGGCACCGGTCTATTAATTTTTTTTTGCTTGACCGCCAGAGCTCAATCTACCACCACTGGCATGCTTTAAATGTAAATGTAGTTAACTGACTTCTTCAGTCTTATGCAAATTGAGGTATGGACATGCTTCTTGCCAACTCTCAGGAGACAAATTTATAAATTTTACAGATATCGACAGAATAACAAAAATCTTTTTCTCCTGGGTGATAAAAAGCTTAATGTCAACCAAAATTATGTACCAGTGGAATAACTACTGACTACATATATTTTGACTGTGGGTAATTAAATACATATAGGCAGTAAAAGCATTTGTTGAGAGCTTATTATATACTTAATTCATTACTATGTACTATGGGATGCAAAAGTATTTAAACCAATGCTTCATCTCTGTAGTATAATCAAGCTAATTAGGAATTCAGATATATGTGGGAAAAAACCGTGATACTATTGTGGAATATGGGTGATGTAGCTCAGTGATCCCCAACATTTTTGGCACCAGCAACTGGAGAATCTAATGCCTGATGAGCTGAGGTAGAGCTGAGGCAATAACACTAGCATTGGAAAGTGGTTGCAAATACAGATGAAGCTTCACTTGTTCGCCTGCTGCTCACCTCCTGCCATGCAGCTGGGTTCCTAATAGGCCACTGACTGCTACCAGTTCACGGCCCAGGAGCTGGGGTCTCCTGATGTAGCTGACCTTGGTGAAGGGTTTCCTACCCATTTTTACAAGAGCAAAGCCCAAGCAGAGTGCCCTGAAATTTATTTCATGCTATTTAAGAGGAACAAATGTTTCTCTTGAACATGGTCCTTTGAGATGCTTATGATTCCCACAAAAAGCAAAACCTCAGTGAATATCACATTCAGAAGGGCCTCAATGAACCTGTTTCTTCTGAGTCCTGGAATACTTGGCCCTTCATCAACCTGGATTCCAGTGGAGAGCTGACCACATGCATAGAAACAAGAGGTGAACCAATAACATAGAATTTTTAATGGAGTGACCTTTATTTGCATTTATATCTCTTCTAATATGAAGCACAAAAAGTCTTTACAGGATAGATTAACTCCTGAAACATGTACCAAATTTCTTTACTGCACTGATTTTCTTTACTAATCTTCAGAGCTGCTGAGCAATCCCTGAATAAAGAAATTCTTGCATTTTTACATATTTTTATTATAAAATATAACAGAAAAGTGAACCAAAGCATAAATTATTGCAGATCAAACACCATGTAACTTAAATCTAGGCTGAGAGATAGAACACTGCCAGCACCCCAGAAATCCCCCTTATTGCCCTCCCAATCACTTCGCCCTCCCTACCTGCCAAAAGTAACCACTGTCCTGAGTTTTATGATATACATTTTCTTGTTTTTCTTTATTTTTTTAACAATTAAGCATGCATTTCTTATTTACATTTATATAAATGGAGTCATATAATATTCTTTGGTTTCTTTCACTCAATATTATATTTGGTTTCTTTCACTCAATATTATATTATATTCATCCATATTGTTGCATGTAGTCATACATTCATTTTCTTTGCTGTATAGTAATTCATTGAATGCATATACCGGGGTTTATCTATTCTACAATTAATGGACATTTGAGTTATTTCCAGTTTGGCACTGTTGTGTATGAGGTTGCTATGAACATTCTTGCATATGTCTCCAGGTAAACGTATAGATGAATTTTTGTTGAGTAGCCATCTAAGAGAATTGCTAGGTCATAGAGTATGCATATGTTTAATAGATAATGTGATGCCAAACCATATTCCAAAAAGATTGTATAAAAGCTACCATCCCAGTAGCATATGAGAGTTCCCATTGCTCTAATATGTTATTGCCAGTGTAGTTAATTTTAGCTTTATGTACCAGTATCTTGTTGTAGATGTAATTTGCATTTCCCTGATTACTGTTGAGATCAAGTGCCGTTTTTTATGTTTGTTGGCCATTTGGATATCATCATTTGTGAATATAATGAAGATAAATCTCCTGTATTACCTTCTAGAAGCCTTATTGTTTTTCCTTTATAATTTATACCTACAGTTTACCTAGAATTGACTGTTTATGGTGTAGATCAGGTTTTTTTTCTATATGAGTATCCAGTTGTCTTAGCACCACTTATTGAAAAGATCTTGTTCTGCATTGCCACTTTTGTCATAAATCAAGTGTCCCTATAGCATTGGTCTATTTCTGAGCTCTCTATTCCATTGATCTGTTTATCTACCTTATACCAGATTCAAACTGTTTTTACTATTGTGTGTATGTGCATGTGTGTGTGTGTATGTATGTGTATGTATGTGTATATATATATGTGTGTGTGTGTGTGTAGATATGTGTGTGTATGTATGTATGTATCACATTTACCAAGTGTTTTCTCCATACAGATATATCATTTGTGAATAATAGCAGTTGATTTCTTCCTTTACTATCCTTGTACTTCTTTTCCTTCCCTTACACACCTGAACAGTACTTTTTTTGTTGCTTTATCCAGCTGACTAGGGCCTCCAATACAGTGTTAAATAGAAGTTGTGATAGTGGCACCCATTTCTCATTCCTAATTTCAAAGAGAAATTTCTTAACATTTCACCATTGTTTGAAGCAGATTACTTTTTAAAATAAACCTTTTACAGATTAAGTAGCTCTCCTTCAATATATCCTAGTTTGCTGAGAGGTTTTTTTTTTAGTAATGAATGGATATTGAGTTTTATCAGATGTTTTTTCTGTATCAGTTGAGATGATCATATGATTTTTCTCTTTTATTTTATTACTATGGTAACTTACATGGATTGATTGTCCACTGTTCAATCAACCTTTCAATGCTGGCATAAACCCAACCTGGTCAATGATGTATTGACCATTTTATATATTACTGAATACAGTGTATTAAAATCTTGTTTTAAGATTTTGTGTCTATGTTTATAAGTAAGGTTGATCTATTATTTTCTTTTTCTAACAGGAACATGACAGGTTTTGATGGCCTCATCAAAACAAGCTAGTGAGTACTCCTTTGTTTTCTAGTCTCAGGAAGAGTTTATGTAAGACTGATCATTATTTCTTTCTTAATAGAAATCACCAAAGAAATGATGTGAAACTCTACATTTTTTATGGGAAGTTTTTTATTTACCAATTAAATAATTTAATGCTATTCAGATTTTCTATTTATAGTTTTTCTAAATTTTTTAGCAAATTGCTTCATTTACATTTTCAAATCTACCAACAGTTTTCCATAATATCCTCGTTTTAATGTCTGTAAGATCTGTGGTAATGTCCTACTTTTCACTTCTGACATTGACTATTTTTGCTCCCTCTCTCTCTTTTAAAATCAGTTTGCCAGGCATTAATCAATTTTATTACATTTTTAAAGGACCAGCTTTTGACTTTGTTGATTCTCTTACATGTATGCTTTTAAAAACTTCTGCTAATATCCCTTGTCATTTCCTGTTTTCTACCTTTCCTAATTTCTTGAAATGAATGCTTAGCTCATTGATTTCTCAGACTTTTGCGTGTATTTGTTTTCTGATATATGTTTAGGGCTATAAATTTTTCTCTAAACAATTAATTTTCTTCATTCAAGTTTATAACAGTATTTTCATCATTATTCAGTTCCAAGTAGTTTCATTTGTATTTGAAAATAAAGGCTCAGTTCATCAGGAAA